ATGCTAAATGCATTTTTATTTTGCTGTACTTAGAAGTGTTGTTGGTTAATATCCGTAGATTTTCCTAATCTGTATTATCGTTTAACTTACTGCGGAAAAACCCGATTATCAAATTGCAGGTTTCTTGAATTTTCGAAAAATTGAAATGGTGGCTAAGAGGACGTCTAATTCAACTTACCTGAGGTCCAACTTACCGTTCTAGAGTTAGATTAGTATAGTCCGCGGCGCGAAGCGCCGCGCACACCTTTAATTTACAGGCGGAAACAACTTACTCCCTGCGGCCACGGCAAGCAACTTCGACTACACTTTTTTTCACTTTACATTTACTCCTAAAAATTTCCTTCTCTGCCTATCCTATTTCCCCCACCCCCAAAACTCTATAACCACCGTTTTTGCAGGACAAAATGATGGGCCTGGGGATATATGAGTGGGCCTACATATGCTACTTTTGCCGACATGTTAATAGGAACCCAACCCCTTGAGTAAAATGGTAGTAAATGTAACTATTATTATGTTATCATTAAATCTAACCTAAACCTTAATCCTTATCTCGAACCCTACCTAAGCCAAAACTCTAACCTTAATATTCATGAAAATAAACTCAGGGTGCAAAAAATAGAGGGAGATACTATTTTGTGCGTGCTGTTGGCATTTACGCATAATTTTAGCGAAGAACCTTACGAACTTAAAAAACTGTTTTCAAAAATAGCATATGAATTTAAAAGTCCTGGATAAAAACTACAATGACAACGAAATATACGACTGGCCAGAACTAGCCCGCTTTCCAGATTGAGTTGTCATTGCTAGCTTTGCTGTCAAAGGCACCTCACTTTCTAATCCATTTGAGCCTTCCCAGCAGAAACCATTATCCTCTGTATCGTGCGGTTGGCTAATTTTCGGGAGCTTAACACTTAATTGCGAAATACTCGCACTGTAATTTGCTCGGCTAGCCTGCATAACCAAAACGGACAAGCGTGTTTTTCATCACTTTACTTCATTCGTTGCGCGATCGTCTGTCGAGCGGCCTTTTTTAACCAAAGTTTTCACAAAATTTAGCCTATTCTACTATAGCAGAGAATTTGGTAACGATCAAATTCTGCAGTAGTTTAAATGATCATTCATGCGGTTAGAACTTGCGGTCCAAATTATACTTCCTTTTTGACTCCTCGGAATAATGAAAGCTAAACACATTGAATCAACACACTTTCATTCTGCAATGAACATTAACGCCGGGCTGGTCTAAGCATCTTCTTCTTGGTTCACCAGTTAGCCGATGCCGGCTTTATAAATTTGGATATGTCCTCGCTGCTAACTCCAAAAATGGTTAGGACTGTAATCTGCCCTCGCGCAATAAAAAACACTCTCCTAAGGGGACGCAGTTCAGATAAATATCTTCCAGCAAGCAACAGCGTTTGTCCAATTTTCCCTACAACGCAGGATTACTGATTACCTGCGAACGATTAGAGACTGAACAAAGAAAATTATTGGGAGGGGAAGTGAATGAGGGCGTAAGGTGCAGAGAAGTTGGAGGACGAGAAGCCATAAAATAAGAGGGCTAAATCTGAAAGACGGTAATTTTGTGTTAAGTCCTTACAGCTTATTCTGAAAACCTGTTTAAGATAGCAAGATTACAGACAAGCACGAGGGAAGTGATTGATAACGGTCGTCAACCAGCCAGTCCTCCGCCCTCAAGTTTATGTAATTCGGGGAGCACCCTGCATCCATAAAGTTTTGATAACGGTACGAAATGTGATATTCCTGTATTGTATGTAGACCACGCAGTCAATTGCCTGACGATGTGTAGTTACTAATTAAATGGGAGTTCTGTTTTCTTACTCTTTCTTGTCAATTCGAAGGGTTGGAGGATTCAGCAGTGTGGTCCTCAGCGAATACCTTCATCAATAGAAAAGGTTCTTCTGCTCTTCGACTGCTGGATAGATGGTCTACCGTGTTTTTTTCTGTCTTCTGACAGCGATAACTTGCCGTGTCAGACCGCCCACGCTGACGCGTACGTTAGGGAAAATGAGCTATGAGATATCATCCAATAAATTACTCAATTTCCTGAACTTATCCAGTTAGCGTAAGCATTGAGTCCGACTACCGGGATATTTAAATCGCCTACAAATCCAGTCTCCAATTCGCAGTTCGTAGTGACTGGTTCTAATATGTCATCAACCTCCTGTCCAGTGTCGATGAGGGGATCGACTTTGGTTAACTATCAGAGGAGACCAGCTTGTTTCCTTTCTTTCGACGCCGTCGCACGTGCTACGTGCGGAGTGGCACCAGACGTTGGCAGATAGCGCGTCACATGGAACATTAGACGAAATTCTGAAATGTGTTTTCAAATAAAAATGTGTCCAAAAGTGCGATCGTAATAATTATCACCGTGCAGCATAATCTCATGATATTTTAGTCAGACCGCGACGACGGCTCTTGTGTATGCTTCCTTCCGACCGTTTGCGAATACCAGGCTCAGCAGTTTGCTGTTTTTCCATTTATATTTGGTGGCCTTACAAATTTGAACATATTTTATAGATATTGCAAAGTAAATAATTATC